AGAAAAAGAAGGTAATTGAAGATGTTGATAAGGACAGACGGTACGCAATTGACGCTTCAATTGTGCGCATCATGAAGAGCCGAAAAGTTTTGGGTCATCAACAGTTGGTTATGGAATGTGTTGAGCAGTTGGGACGCATGTTCAAGGTTTGTCACTGCACTTAGTTTTCTTCTACTATTTTCTTCTTTGTGGTACTTGGTTCTTAAAATTAAACTTCAAAATTGCAGCCTGATTTCAAGGCAATTAAAAAGCGGATTGAAGATCTGATATCTCGAGACTATCTGGAGAGGGACAAAGATAATCCAAACCTGTTCAGATACTTGGCATGAGGTGACTTAGATGATTATACAGACTAAACAGCGACAGTTGCCACTGCAAATAGCCCAAAAAAATCAAACTTTGTGGGAAGTAGCTTGAACACAGAAGATTCCATCGTAAGTGCATCTCTGGTGTTTGCAGGGAAGCATCAGGAGCTTATATGCTTGTACATTTTGCCTTCAGAGCCTGGTATGGACATAAGTGTGAGCCATGGCGGAGAAACTGTAGTTGATTCGATAAGGAATTCCAATTCGCCAAGGGGCCCTCGGTGGCTGTTTTAACAAAGCCATATTTCATAACTTATATCCTGCTTCTTGTTTATTAATTTGTTGTTTTCCTGATGCAAGAAAATCGAAAATTCTATTTTGGCTTGGCCGTCAATGTTTGTGTGAGATATATCTCGTTGAATATGAAATCCATGGCTCTGGCTATGTTCTATGCGTTTTGTGTATATTCTTATGTCAGAAACAGAATATGCCTTCGTTTAATGTAATGAAGATGCTATAGGATTGACAGATTGCAAATGTTGGATTCTTCATTCAGTGCATTAGATTTTACAAGGAGATTTTCAATGTCCCGAGTTCATGATCTCTAATTATTTCTCAATCCATTGAGATTATTGATTCAGTTCCTCCAATCATCTTGCCAAATAAGATTCTTCGTCTTGTCTACGTTCCAAGAAATGATACTCTCTACCCTTTAAAGACACCACGTGACCATTATTTATGGATGAAGTATATTTAAGATACTCTGTACAGGACATGGATATATATATATATATATATCTATACATACATGCTAGAGAGTGTGTGTGTGTGTATATATATATATATCTATATGTGCATTAACAGCAACTTGTGTGGTCCTGATTCTGCAAGTAAGCTTTATGTAACTGGGCCACAAGCGTTGTTGCCCGTTCTTATCTTTATAAGGGTTTTAAGCTTAATTGTAATTGAGTTTATTGGTTGGAAAAAATCTATGATTAAATTTTTGTACTTTGAACAAGCATTACAGATAGCTTTATTTAAAGTTATTACTAAGAAATACTGTGTTTCTTTTCTCTTAAAAATTATCAAAATTTTTTAGAACTGTGATAAGAGGAAATAATATATTCTCTTTAGAAAAGATTTATGACTTAAAACATTTTTCGTGGACATACCATAAGACACTTTTGAATCTAATAAAAAAGAAATTAGTACACCGTTTAGGTTAAGAGTTAAGTATCGACTGTTTTACGCAAGACACATTTTAAGACATTCGAAATTTTAATTTCTTAAGAAGAGATAAAGTACATCATTTAGATTAAAAGTGAAATACCGATTGTTTTATAAAGAATATATCTCGAGACACGTAAATTTTTAACCATTAAGAAAGAAAGACGTAAATACACCATTTAAATAAAAAAGGCGAAATTTGATGTTATCATGAGTTGTAATGCTTAAAACACAAAATTATATTGGAAATGTATTAGATGAATACGGTTGGAATTTAGATATAAAATGTAGGAGTTATATGAATTTTTTTGATCAAATATATATTTAAATGTTTTATTATAATATAATATAAGGTCGTACTTTTCATAATAATTTGATTTGATAGTTGGAATCAAATGGACGGAAAAATTGGAGTGGTTTTCATTATTAATTCCAATTTCACACGTCATCATTACTCATCGCTGGACGATGAAACTAATAATTGCTGGGTGCCCAACAACACCACTTGCTCATTTATTCATTATATAAGGATCTTAATTTTATAATTAATTATACAGTGTAATTTATAATTAAAATTTATTTTTATATTTAAATAATTAAATTATAAAATAAAATAAATATAAATAACTTATGAATTGACTATAACTTAACCTAATTAAATTGTATTAAAAAATAAAAAATAATCATAACCGTATAAATAAATCCTCCTCATCATCTTTCTTCCCGCGAGAAAAAATAATCATAATTAAATGAGTTGGTCGCACATCAATGGTGGAAGAAGGTTGCGTCTCGACTTCTTCTATAGTTACAAAAGTAAAAGTGATGTCTCGAGAAGAATAGAAAGATAACCTTAAAACTAATTTTAAATTTTTTTAAAAAACTAAATTTAAAATCTTATCTCTTATATCTTACATTTAATATTTGTTGAATTCACTAATTATTTCATAATATATATTTAAATTATTATATGTTGATATTCTGTCAATTAAAATAATCGATCGAATAAATTTCATTTACAACACCAAATACATTCAATTGAGAAGGTTCCAAACCCGAACTTTTTATGAACAAAGAACGAATGCCTAGTTAAACCTTGAATTATTTCCCATCCTCTAAAATTTATTGGTTAGCTCGAGTATGTAACTTTATTTAGTAGTCAACACTAATTATTAGTAACATTAATTAATTAATTGATTAAGAGAATTATTATTATTAATTATTTGGGAAATGGAGTTTATGTGTGAGGAGACACTAAAAAGAAAATGCAAGTGGGTAAAGAAAGAATTGTAAAGTTGGAAGCACTCCTCCCAAAACACTAAATTAAGAAGGAAGGAGTGAATGAAGCACAAACAACGGTTCCGTATAATAAACTATTTAAAATTTTAGTTATTATATAATAAACTATTTAAAATTATTATTGCAATTAAATGAATAAAATGAAAAATATTTTTAATAAAATACAATTTTAGAATTTATTTTTTATAAAAGGTAAAATTAAAATATGTTTTTGATAGATTTAAAGTTATAATTTGTAACTTTAGAAAATAATTTTTAATTTTTAATAAAAAATTACGCTTGAAATATTAAAAATTATTTTTATTAAATAGGCCGCTTCTATTTTTTAAAGTGACAAACTATAGTCATTGTCATTCTCTCTCTCTCTCTCTACGAACGCTAACTTAGTTCCGTATATTTATAAGTTAAGTTTAGATTCTTTTTCTTTTAAAATAAAGTTGTGGATAAATAATTTTATAAATATTCTTATGTTCGACATGAATAACATAATTTCAAAAAATTGATCTAAAATACTTTAAATAATATATATAAAAAAAAAATTTCTTGAAAAACATTTGTTATCTTAAGTTGAAAGAGCAATTTTCTAACTTGAATATGAATGAATGACTTAATTTTTATTAAATTAAAAAATTAACATCTAACCGTAAATATCGATTATTAATAAGGCATCCCAATGACTAAATTGATAAAAAAAAAAAAAACAAATAAACTTTGAAAAGTAAAAATTTTATTCGAAAGATTTTTTTTTTTC